CACACCTTTATTCCAGTCCTGAACTCTAAAAGTCTTGCCTTTACGGCAGATTTCCAGGCAGGAACACACCCTTAATCTAGTCCACACCTTCTGCTGGGAGCCTATGTAAGAACAGGGAAGAAGGAAGCTTTCTCACTCTGCCCTCAGTCTGCTTGCTCACTCTCACAGTGCTAGCCAGTCTATTACTTCCCTGGCATCAGAGCTTACTTCCTTAGGGTTCCAGGAATTACTGAAGACCTGCTGAGACATCCATCCTGGTGGACTGAGTAACTTCTGGACTCTGGGTCTTTCAGTTCACAGCCAGCCATTGTAGAATCAGCTGAACCACAGCCGGTAGTCATTCTCACAAATTCCATATACATATAGGGGATGACAGGATTTTACTTTGAGAATCTTTACTCTTGTTTGTTTTGTTTTAATTTTTTGTTTGTTTGTCTTTCTTTAATTTTTTTTCAGAGCTGAGGACTGAACCCAGGGCCTTGCACTTGATAGGCACTCTACCACTGAGCTAAATCCCCAACCTCTGTTTGTTTGTCTTTCAAGACAGGTTTTCCCTTTGTAGCTGTGGCTGTCCTGGAACAAGCTCTGTAGACCAGGCTGGTCTTGAACTCAGAGAAACAGCCACCCATGGCTCTGCTTCTACAGAGCTGGAATTAAAGGTGTGCAGCACCAGGACCTTCAGAATCTTCACTCCTTATCCAATGCAAATAACTGCTGGGAATATGAACTTACACCCCACATCCTGCAGTGTAATGGTTCGGAGGGATCTACAAGCTAGAGGATAAGAAGGTAACTGACTGACTTCTGAATCTGATGCTCAAGAAATTGTCCTCTGTATTACACAGGTGAATTCAAGACAACAGAGCAGTTCCGCCCGGTTTTATGGAAGACATGTCGATTCTTCACAGCACACCTCGAAGGACACTTGTCTTGCCAGCCCTGAGTCCCCGGTATTCCATGTCCTGGCCACTGTGTTACTTAGGAAAGCCAAGCCACTGCTTTGAGGAGGGTTGGTCTGTTGAGTGGGAACTGTTTTCTCTTCCCTGTGGACTTGATTGCTTGGACTGCCTCAGATTCCACCCCAGACCAAACAGTGCCATGAAGAGGGGTGCAGATGTCTTCCAGAGTGAGAGTCAGAAGAAGCCACAAATGTCCCCAGGAGAGGTGGACAAGGACAAAGACAGCAATGTTGAGAAGCCAGACCAACCCTCCACAGGCTTGCTCAGCATCTGGAAGAAAGGACAGGAACTTGAGACCTGTGATGGTGGAGACTACCCTGACCCTGATCCTGCTTCTGACCATCCCAGGTCCCTAGGCTGCTGGCCATGGCTTCAAAGGGCTTTTGGCAGGAAGAGAAAAACCGGACAGAATCTCAGGAGACCTGATGCCTGCTAAGACTTGCAATTAGGGGGTCGTCTGTCAGCTCCAGCTATTACAGCAACACCCCTGCCTCTGCTCACATGCAAAGGCAGTTTTTGTCTTTGTAGATGTCTGTGTTAATTTTTTTTATCAGCTTTCTTAATAAAAGTGCTAAACCCCTGAAAATTTGTGTTGTTCTTGGGATGGCCTAGGGAAAAGGTGAAGGGTGGAGTAGACATAGAGGAGGATGCACTACTGTTTTCCCATGTTGTTCACAGGACAAACTTTGGTTCTTCTTTTTAAAAGAAGTCCTCCAGGGACCTTGGTAGGCATCCCCAGGAGAAAGGCACAAAGCATAAAACCTTTCTTTGGAGAGGAGGAATTTTCTAGCCTGCGCTATGCTATCCAGCCTGTACCTCGGCTGCCACCTAGTGGAGAACCCTCAGTGATCCAGTCGTCCCTGGCTCTGCTCTCCCAGAGCTGGGATTAAAGGTGTGCAGCACCAGGACCTTCAGATCTTCACTTTTTATCCAATGCAAATAAGTGCTGGGAATATGAACTTATACCTCAGCATCCTGTGGTGTAATGGAAGGGTGGAGTGGACATTCATGAGGATGCACAACTGTTTTTCTATGTTCGTCACAGGACAAACTTTTGTTGTTTTTAAAGAAAGTCCTCCAGGGATCTTGGTAGGCATCCCTAGGGAAAGGCACAAAGGGTGAAACCTTGTTAGGAAACCTGCTTCAGAGGAGAAATTTGAGCCTGAGCGATCCAGCCTGAACCTCGGCTGCCATCTAGTGGAGAACTCTCGTAACCTTTGCGGGTTCAGTTCCTCTGACAGGGGACACTAGCTTTGTATCTTGGCTTCTGTAGCAGGGAGAATACACAGGAGCAAGGAGCTCATGGGGAGTCTCCAGAAATCCACAGTGGGCGATGGATGGATGGATGGATGGATGGATGGATGGATGGATGGATGGATGGATGGACGGACGGATGGATGGAAGGATGGAAGGATAAATAAATAAATATAAAAACGCAGGGAAGTTGACTCAACAAACAAAAACACTTTCCTACCCCCTTAAAACCTGAGCTTGATCCTCCAACACCCATGTTGGAAGGAGTACTGACTCTTGGTGGTTGTCCCCTGACCCCCACAAGGAGTTGTGGCTCTAGGATGCCTGCATTCACATGCACATCATGAGTAACACACACAAATAAGACAGAAAAGAATGCCGGGCGGTGGTGGAGCATACCTTTACTGCCAGCACTCTGGAGGTAGGGACAGGTGGATATCTGAGTTCCAGGCCAGCCAGGCCTACAGAGGGAGTTCCAGAACAGACAAGACTACATAGAGAAACCCTGTCTGGGAAATACTAACTAAAACATTTAAATAAAGATGAGTGATAAACATTTCAAAATTCAATGATACTGAAGAAAATACAACATCACTCTGGAGCATATATATCCAATTATTTTTTTTCTCAAGAAATAAAATATAGTCAGGCATGGTGGCCCATGCCTTTAATCCCAGCACTCAGGACACAGAGCCAGGTGAAATCTCTGAGTTAGAGGCCAGCCTAGACTACATAGGAGTTCCAGGACAGCCAGGGTTTCATGGAAAGACCCTGTCTCAAAACAAACAAACAAAAACCCAGGTGGAGGAGAAATTTCTGGCAGCAATAAAGCACATCATATAAAATTACTCTTTCTTATCTAACACATGTTTCCATCTAACCCAAAATTTTCTGAAAAGGCAATGTTCTAGAGTAAACCATTATCCGTTTTGCTTACATTTCCAAGGAGCCAACATTCCTTTGTTCTTTGTAACTGAGAGATCACCAACTAAAGAGTGGGAAAACCCACAATAGACCATCCAGGGCTGCTCTGGAGAGTCTGTCTTTTTTTCTTTTGTAATTGAAAATAATGTTTTTAACATATAGATTCTGATCATGTTTTCCTCTCCCTCACACAAACTAGAATAAGACAAAACAAACAAAATAAAAATAAAGAAAATCACCAGAAACACACACACCTCATAAAACACAAAATCAGAACCTATAATGTATAATCAAAAGACTAGTAATGTACAAAAGAATGTCCCAAAGCATTATGAGACAAAAGTCTTCAAAATTACCACTGAGTACATTTTTGTGGGCTATCAGTTATTGCACATGGAGGCTGCCCTGAGTGGTACCCGAAGTTCTAAGGCTGGCAGAGCAAACAGAAGCCCAAACACTCAGGATATCCTCAGTGTCAAGCACTTGCTGAACAGGAGTTTGGTTGCTAAGGAAATAGTTCCTCCATGTGGCAATTGGGAAATCCTTAGATCCAGCAAAGGAAATCCTCAAATGCCTGCAGCATGGGAGAGACTTTCTGAGAGCCTCTCATCTGGCAGAGGATTTGCATCAAGAAGACGCTAAGAACCCAGAGTTCTAAGGAAGAAAATACCAACCACCAAAAGTCCTGACAAAGTGAACAGCCTGTTCTCAGAGCCCGAAGTACAAGTGCCAGTTGGCATGGGGGAAGTGTTCATCCTGGCTAGTCAGCTGAGGGAGGCACTGACACCCTCTGAGATTCCATCTTATCCCAGTCAGAAGGACAGTCACCAAGAAATCAGAGGAACACACATCCTGGGAGAGGGAGGAAGGTGAGGAGGGGGTGTGGAGAACTGGGAACTCTTGCAGACTGTTGGTGTGAAAGTTAAACTACTCTGGTCTCTAGGAAGATCCTCAAAAAACTTAAAAAAAGGGACCTTCCGTGGAACCCAGCCTTATCAGTTTTTGGTATTTACAGGCCCTAGAGAAATTTGCACAACAGTGTTTCTTGCAGTCCCGTTGACAACAGCTTGGTGAGTGAACCAACCTAGACATCCCATAATGGAGAGATGGGCAAAGAAAGGTTCTGAAAAGTTTAGGACAGCGGTTTTCAACTTTCCTAGTCCTGTGACCTTTTAAATACAATTTCTAACGTTGTGGTGACCTCCGGCCATAAAATTATTTCCATTGCTTCTTTATAACTGTAATTTTGCTACTGTTATGAGTTGTAATGTAACCATCTGTGTTTTCCGAATGTCTTGGCGATCTCTGTGAAAGGGTCATTAGACCCCTAAAGAGGTTATGACCCACAGATTAAGAAACACTGCCTTAGGAACTAGAGCCTTGTGGGAGGAATTGGAGGACTCTGGAGAGAAGTCATGCCTTGAGGTTTGATAGCCTGGACCCACTTCTTCTTCCATCTCTACTTCTCAGATGCTCATGCAGTGTGACCAACTGGCCTCCCTTATTCCTTCTGCTGTGCCTGTCCTGATGGGACGGACCACATCCCACAGGGTTTCTCAGCCATTATAAGCCCAACTTTCTATTAGGAAAGAAAAACAAACGAAGATACTACACCTTGAAAACACAATTACGAATGTTCTTGACACTGACTCTTTTTCTACTAGTCATGGAACCAGTGAGAGATCACCTGGGAACTTGCTGGTGTTCCTGTCCTTAGAAAGTGCAGAAAAGATCCAGGAACCCCAGATGTGGTGGTCTGCTCACTGCACTCACCAGCCCATGTACCCCGATTCCTTCTGATAGAGCCTCAGCTCAAGATGTGTGTCATTTATTTATAAATTCATTGATCCGTTCATTCATTAACACATTTCAAAGTGTTTTATTTACTGGAAGGACATGTGGTTGCAATATATAATTTCATGCAATTATATACTTCTCTCTTGGCCTATTCCATCCACCATGTTCCAATGCCCTCTGATTCCACAAGCCTACCTTCTCCCTTTAGGCCACTCTGTTCTCCCCGAAGTTTCTCCAGATGCCCCATGTCTTCAGAACCTGCTGTATTCCATGTGTGTAGCACACATAGGAGGAGCCACACCTGAGAGACACGCAGGCAGGACCTGCCATTCTGAGACGGACTCCTTTCATTCAGTGTGATTATCTCCAGTGGAGTCCATCTCCCTGCAAACTCCAAAGTGTGGATGAAAATAAATTCATCGCGTGTCTGAAACATTCCGTCTTTGCCCATCTCTCCGTCTGGGCTCGCTCCCTCACTAAGTTGATGGGAACGGGCTGTAAGGGCTCCTTCACCCGCCCCTCCCCCAGCATCAGCTCTCCCTGGCTTTCTTGATGGCCACCATTGCCGTTCTGACTGGGATAAGATGGATCTCAGAGTGGGTTAGTGCCTGCTCAGCTGCCCAGCAAGGATGAACACCTCCCCCATGCCGACTGGCATTTGCCTTCCAGGCTCTGAGAACTCACTATTGTTCACTTTGTCAGGCCTTTGGTTGGTTGGGAGATTTGGTGTTTTCTTCCTTAAAACTCTGGGTTTTTATTGTCTTCTAGATGTGTATCCTCTGCCAGATGAGAGGCCATCAGAAAGTCTCTCCCATGCTGCAGGCATATGAGCATTTCCTTCGCAGGGTCTAAGGTTTTCACAGTTGCCAGCTGGAGGCACTATTTCCTTAGCGACCAGAGTCCTGTTCAGAGAGTGACTGCCCCTGAGGGTAACCAGAAGTGTTTTGGTTACTTTTTTGTCCACCAGCTTTAGACCTTTGACTATCACAGCAAGGTCAGATTCATGTGACCTGTTGTCCCTACAGGGTCACAGAGGGAGGAATTCTTTTTTGTTTCTTTCTTTGTTTCCGGTTTCTCTGGTAACAGCCCTGGCTGTTCTAGAACTCACTTTGTAGACCAGCCTGGCCTCGGAATCACAGTGATCTGTCTGCCTCTGCTTCTGAGTACTGGGATTAAAGGTGTGCGCCACCACACCCAGCTCAGAGAGAGGAATTCCACTTGTGGCCATCCAGGTTTGCAAGGACCATATGATGAAGGTATTGTCATTTCTCAAAACTTTATTATTTGCATCTTGGTGAAAACTCAGGTGTTGCTTCTGGCAGGGGTTTGTTTACAGAGCCTCAGGTCTGCCCCATCTATCCACGTATCAGGTTGTCAACAGACCGAGTGCTGTTTCTATGACTATGGCTTTATGAGACTCCCAGAAATCAGGTTGGTGACACATCCTGTATTGTTTCTTTTAGGGAAAGTTGGGCTATCATGGGTCTTTTGTGACTCTATGTGAATTCAAATGTTTAAGCCAAGGAATCTGGCTGGGTGGCTGTGGCTGGCCTTGATCCTGGTTGTGCTGAAGTGACTGTCTTGGAATCTGCAGCCTCCCTCTCCCTGCCTGCACCATTCCAGCCCCATCCCAGCCAGCTCTGCTCTGGAAATAACATTCTTAAACATGAAACAAACTAAACATTGATCAGGAACAGAGTCCTGTATTTTTTCCAGTCCCCAGTCTGTATTTTTTCTTTAATGAAGGCATTCGCTAAGGAAGCATGCTTGCACAGGGCTGTAGACCCAAAGTGTCTAACTCATAGGTCCCCGGGTGGGTGCCAAACACTGAAGTGAGCAGCATGCAGGAGAGCACTGAGGTATGAATCCACTCCAGGAGGAAAAAAAGAGGGCATTGTCTTTTCCCTCAATTGGGAGAGGCAAGCCAAGGCTCCCCTTGTCAGATTTAATGTGAGTCCTGCAGTGGGGTGCAGGCAGGGACACCTCCTTACAGGGGACCGCTCTAGCGTGAGCCTGCATGGTGCTTCTGTGGGATACAACCCTAGGACCAAGGCTCTATTTTCTGCCTTCTAGAACAGAAGGCAGGAGCCCAGCTGCCAGGAGAGCCTGCCAAGCCCACCGCCAGCCTGGGGAGTCCTTCCTTGCCCAATGAGCAGCCATCACTTTGATGAAAACTCTCCTAAGGGCAGGAAGCAAGACACTGACCAAGAAAGAATGACTGCACTCAGCTCCTCCCTGGTCGGGAGTCCAAGAGACTGAGGCATCCCAAGTCTTTTTCACAGGCACAGACCAGACATTCGAATCCATAACACAAACTCCACTCACAGCAGGGAGACTTGTGTAGCCGTAGCATTTTACATCGCCAGCTCCCATGGTTTTTCTTGTGACAGTTTTTCAGTCTTACAAAGTTTAGGACAACAGAACTTACTTAAAGAGCTTGGATATTAGAGGCAGAGTCAGCCTCAGCCAGTGCGTTCTCTGTCTCTCTGTCTCTCTGTCTCTCTGTCTCTCTCTGTCTCTGTCTCTCTCTGTGTGTCTCTGTCTCTCTGTGTGTCTCTGTCTCTCTGTCTCTGTCTCTCTCTGTGTGTCTCTGTCTCTCTGTGTGTCTCTCTGTGTCTCGCTGTCTCTGTCTCTCTCTGTGTCTGTCTGTCTGTCTGTCTCTCTCCTACCCTTATGGAGTGGAGCCCTGCTGACACCTGATGCCCCAGTGGTCGCCATGCCCATGAGAGGAAGGGGACAGTAAAAGTGAGAAGAAATCGATTAAAATGTATTCTCATTCTTAAAAACCGAAACCAAACGTTGCCACCAAAAAAGGGTGAACACGTCCACCAAAAGGCAACCCTAATGCCAACCACGCTGAGCGGATTCAGAGGCACCTAGAAGGGTCCTCACTAAGGGAGGCGGCTCTAGTGGACCACTGCCTAAAGAACTGAGCAGACTGTCAGGTTAAGCCGGCCCCTGGAGGACCTGGATTTCTGGGCGGAGTTCCTCGGTTGCTGCAATTGTCTTCAGCAAAGAGGAAGTGCTCTGGCTAGGCTGAAGAACTCAACAACTGTCAGGCTCAGCCCAAGAGCCACTGATGTGCATTTGCAGACAGAAACCAGCTCCACTGAGAAAGCGCAGGCCTGCTGCTTCCGACCTGCTCCGGACCGGAAAGGAGTGCCTTCGCGGCCCCAGGAGCTGCCCATCTCCAGCCTAAGAGAAAGCGTGACTTCCAGATTGCAGCCATCTTTAGCGGAGAATTAAAAAAGGGATCAGTGACATGGTCAGCATCCAGGCAGCAACAACCTGGAACTTTGTCCATTTGAGCCAGGACTTTTTGGGGCACCACCACTCTCCTGCCCTCAGCAGACCCAGAGGCGCTGAGCCACCCACCCTGAGCAAGCCAGGTTCACCCCGGCTTTCCCTGTTCACCAAGCTGAGCTGCTGGACAACCCTCAGGTCTGGGTACAGAGACTGAGCTTAAAAATGGGAGCCTCTGGCAAATATTCGGTTTGAACAGCAACAGCATCAATTCTCTGCGAAGACCCAGTTTTCTTCTGATTTAGGATTAGGAGCCGGACCACAGTAGATGCTGTAAGAAATTCTCCAGATCAAACATCCATCTTGCCGTTTGGTGAGCGTTGGTAGTCATATCCCAGCTGTAAGTTTTAACTTTAATAAACTTAGGGTGACCTAGTTAAACTTTTTGATGTGACCTTATCTTTTTGGAACAATCCTTGTGTTGTGGTCCGAGGCTCTGAATCAACCCGAGGAGACAAAAGAAGTTCTGTAAAGCCAGATTTATTACCGGGCAGCACTTCAGAAAACTGATCTGTCAGGGAGGCAGAGCAGACTCGGGACCTGAACTGAGACCCCCAACGTTCGTTTCAGCAGGTGTTTAAGTACAAACCCCACAGACATCTGTGCCAAGTTACAGTTGCATTTCCCCCACCAATCAGGAGTCAGAGATTTAGGGGCTTTCTCTATGTGTTCCTTCATTATCAACCGACTAAGAATGTAAGCTTTTCAGTCCAACCAATCAGATTCATTTGTTCTTTCCGTCCTTAGCAACAGCCATAAAGTTGCACGAGAACTCGAAAGAACTAAGATGCATAACGACTATTTCTGTGGAGGAGGCAGGTCAGCTCTTGGAAGGTCCCCAGCTCCCCTAGGGCTTGGGAACCTGAACTTTTTTCATCTTAAAGGTAAAATGGAGTCTGAAGTCAAAATGGCAGCACTTCAGGCAAGGTGCTTTTTCTTGTTCCCAACGCTTGACCTTAGAAACTAATTTTTGACTGAATGTTATCGGTTATCAGCTACAAGTACTGTTTATGGTTCATTACCAAAATACGTATAGAAACCACACCTTCTGCAACCCCGTTGTGTGATGGTTTTTACTGGTTATTTTTTCACTTTCACAACATAGAAAGTAACTTATTTCTAACATGTAGCCGCATTTCTGTGAAAACACAGGATGCTCTGTCTCAAAAGGATCAGACACCTCCAGAGGCCTAAGGAGATCTTTCTTTTTGCCCTCTGGTTGAAACTGAAGAATCTCTTGAGCATTGAAGTCCTTTTCTGCCAGGTGTCTAGAAACTGCTTTTCCTCAAAGAATGGACTTTATATTAGAGACTTCTCCTGAAAAGTGAACTTTTACTAAAAGGGTCGACTTTTATCTAAATTTGGACTTTTCTTAAAGCTTTTTTCATAAATGCTCAGCTTTTTATTTACAGCTGGGCTTTTTTTTTTTTTTTTGAAAGGGTTGACTTTCTATAAAAACTATTGACTTTCATGAAAACAATACCTTTTAATTTGAAAGTTACCCTTTTTATATAAAGGAATGACTCTATGAAAAACTGACCTTTTTGGAAAAGATACACTTTTTGTTCAGTTTGGACTTTTATGGACTGGATGAAATCATTGTTAAAAAGATAGCATTTTATGAAAAAAGACAGCTTGTTTAGAACAGACTAGACTTTTATGAAAAAGAATGTTTCTTCATAATGAAATTAACTTTTTGTGAAAATGGTGCACTCTTTATTTGAAGGGGGCATTGCATTGAAAGGGTTGACTCTTCATTACAAGGCTGGCATCTTATGAAATGGTTGAACATTTCATTTAGATCTAGGAGGCATCGAAATACATAATGAATTTTTGGGAAATTTTCTGAGTAATTTTAAAAATTATTTTAAGTTTTTCTTTCATGTGTATGGTTGTTTTTTGTGTACATGCACTGACATACAAATATACATACATATAGTATATATGCTTTCATGTATATGTATATGTGTATGATGTATACCATGTGTATGCCTGGTACTTGTTGAGGCCTGAAATGGAGTGTTGGATCTCCCTGGAATTGGAGCTAGGAATAGCTAAGAGCCACAATGTGGATGCTGGGAGTTGAACCTGGGTCCTCTGGAGGAGCAGCAAACCCTCCTAAACACTGAGCCCTCCCTCTCTCCTGTCTCCCCTTCCCGTGATGCTCTTTTATTTTGTTCACTTATTTATTGTATGTTGGGTAAATCCCCCACTCCAGGCAGGTCAGATTCAAGGAGGCCTTAGGCATTCACCAAGCTGGGCAGCTGGACACCCCGAAGGGCAGAAGCACAGGTTGGGAACAGAGACTGTGCTTAACAATAGGAGATTCTGGCAAATACTCGGTTTGAACAGTAACAACACCAAATCTCTGCAAAGATCCAGTTTCCAATTTAGGAGCCTGACCTGCTTTAGGTACTGTAATTCTCCCAATAAAACATCAATCTTGCCCTTTAGCAAGCATCGGTAACCATATCCCAGCCGTTAGTATTAACTTTAATAAACTTAGAGAGACATAGTTAAACTTTTTGATGTGCCCTTATCTATTTTGGAGCAGTCCTTTACTTAATTTTTGACTAAATGTTATGTGTTTTCATCTACAAGAGCTGTTTAACCTTCATCACCAAAATATGGTTAGACACAATACCTTCTGGCAACCCATTGTGTGACTGTATTTACTCTGTTTAATTTTTTTCAATTTTACAATATAGAAAGTAACTTATTTCTAACAAGATAGTCGAATTTCTGTGAAAACACAGACTGC